CGTTTAGGTAACAACCTTTAGAGATGGTGCTGTCTTGTGTTCGTGTGCTCTTCGTCGTTTTCAGTTAGCTATCGACCTGATATCTTTGTAGATGCTGTGCCCTAAAATCCTAAAGCTGTTGTAGAGTGTAGTTAAAGTGTAAATGCAGAGTGTATCGAAACCATGAAAAAACAATCAAAAAAGCGCCTGGCCATCCTTTCATGCTGATCAGATGGTCCTAACGTTACACCCTAAAACCCTAAAGCCCTTAAACCTTCAACCCTGACTTGCCTTGGCAGTCGAGGATATGGTCGCAGCGCTCACCAACGGTCCCGCAGCAGGCATTGCTTCGACCTCGGACTGCGCTGACCTTTGAGTCGCCAATCCTACCAGCGCTGAGAATGGCTTAGGGGTTGGAGGGTTGAGAATTTAGGGTTTGTATTTTTGGGCTTAGGATAGGTGCAGTAGGTGCTTGAAAGAAGGTTCCGAAGGGCCATGCAGTGGCGAAGGCTGGCATAGACCTTTCCAGTTTTCGCGGCTTCCCTGCGTTGAGAACACTTCACGACAGGAAGGGTTTTAACATCATGGTTTTCGGTGAGTGTATGTAGAGTTCGACTAGAAAGTCCAGGGATAACTGCAGCTCCGATCATGTCGCCATACGGATGTTGAGGAGGATGATATGTACGGCCCCCGGCTCCTAAATGGTTGTGATGGACTAATGCTTTCAAAGCGAACAAATGACTCGACCGGGAGTGCGACTTTTCCACTGTGCAGGCTGGAGTGCCTAGAATTTTATAGTGGTTAATATTGTTGCGCAACGCTTCCATTTTTGCTGAAGCGTTACATCCCCAACTTAATGGCCCATACCTTGAATGCAAAACCTCAAAGCATATAGGGCTATCCTCTACTGTTCCTTTTCTTCATGCTGGATTTTACGGTCTCTTCGAGTGTTGGTTTCTGTTCATGAGTGGCTACATGAGGTTTTCAGCTACGCTGTGGTTTGGGTGTTGCCCCTACCCGCAATCATTGTATGATGCCCTTAATATGATCCATATTATAGATCATTATAGACTGTTGGAGGCAAGACCAAAGTAAATTTGGGTTTGGTAACACTAGGGTATTGGAGGTCATGATAGAGGACAGACCGACTCGTGAGACTTTGGCATCATGGGATTCGTGATCTAGACGCTGCCTTATAGCTGAATGTTAGGTAGAGTTTCAATCGCAGTTTTGGTCAGGGTTCGCCGGGTAATCTGAACCATATTGGCGAATGTATTCGGGAATTTCCACTCCCAAAGAGCATAAATGTGTTTATACACACATGTATAGGATGAAGTGGATATATATATATATATAATTAGGATTATAGGGATATGTAGGATCACCCGGGTATAACAGTTATAGGGATGTACGGGATTAATGGGATACAGCACACGTAGTATTCAAGGGATATATTGTAGGGATTTCAACTGGCCTGCTGAGTAGAGGGTTTGGGGTTCAGGGTCTAGGAAGAGGCCATGCAGACCCAAAACCTTGAAGCCTTAGGGCCATAGGCTACATGTCAGCTCCGCAAATCTGTGGGGGGAGGGTTCGCAACACCTGTGGGGGTGGGGGGTGTAGGGTCTAGGGTTTGGCGTTTGGGGAGCGACCATCAATGAAGGAATCGTACGGGCTGGGTCGGGTTTAGGGTATAGAACTTTTAGAAATGAGAGTGCCCTGCAGCCCATTGAGATATGTGTATGTGGGCTACACAGGGAGGCAAAGCTTAGTGCTTCACTGATTATCACCTCCCTTTTATACTGACCAGGCCTCTCATTAAAGTATCTTTCGTATGAACTAGTGGTAGGATGTGGTAGGGAATTTTTAATGTTACAGGTTTGAGGGGTGTTGAATGATAGGGGAAGGGATTAATCCTTAAACCCTACACCCTAGACCCTAGACCATAATCCCTAAACCCTGATCCAAAAACCCCTAATCCGTAATCCCTAAGCCCGAAATCTGAAACCACCCTAAGCCCTGTAGCACCCTGAAGCCTATACCTAGCACGGATCTCTAGAAACCCTTGCAATCCTGTATATGGCTTGAATCCCGTATATCCCTCTTACTCCTCAGTATACCCATAAGCCTACACATCCCGATCTTTTAGATCACCTTTCGGAAGTACCGCTCTGCGGCAAAAGCATTAGGCGCTCCCAGTTCTGCATCGGCACAAGCCGCGTTCGAGCTTGGAATTCAAGTGAGCTGCTGTCGGTAGTAGGGAGTTTTAAGCAGTGTGTATGGTACAGTTGGCTTATAGTTCCGAGTGTGGGTCTAATTAGAGCCTTCAAAGGTTGTTAAGATGTCTGGTCGACTGAATCATGCTGGGTTGCCGTGCGCATTTGCCTAACGTTTTTTTTTGCTTTCAAATCATGACGTGAGTTTCGGTTTGAGGGCCTTTTCAGGCTTTTGTGGAAGTTTAGACACGGACTTCGGATTGTAGCTCACATGGTCCTCGGCTACGCCTGACACACCACGTGCGGGTGAAACATTTTGCAGCTCCAGGTGTCGGCCGGCTCTAGGTTTCAGGGTTTAGGGTTATAGTAACAGTAAGATTAGTAGTAGTAATATTAGTAGTAGGGCCTAAGCCCTGGTCCTTACTCGGATTTCGGGGTTTCGAGCGATGTAGTAAAATCAATTCTTGTTTACCATACACACCCAACAAAAAGCGCAGATTGGTTTTTCATGGAGGGTTCCTTGGCAGATGGAGGTTTAGGCGTCAGGTTTCAAGGTTTAGGGTTTAGGGTTTTCAGGTTGGTGGTTCCAGTCGGCATGCTGACATGCCTCAAGGGAGAAAGATGTGCAGTTACCTTTCTTTTTCTTCGTTGAACTTCTTTCCGTAGTACGAGCGTGAGAAAACTCCAGGTTTTGATAATCTACCATTTGAAATCTAAACCCGAAATCCTACCCGTTTTGCAGCTGCCTGCCACAGCCAAGAGCGGCAACAAGTGCTAGCACATCGACATGGGAGATTTTCAACACTATCCGCAGGGTTTAGTTTTTAGGGGTTTAGGCTTTAGGGCTTAGGGTTGTAAGGACGCCCCCCTGCTATCCGTGAGAGCCCCCAAGTATGCTTTTGGACTCTAGGAGACCCGGCGTGCCTCTACTTTGATAACGCTGCCGATCTGCATCAGAAGCAATGACGGGCACCTCTCTTTCGAACTCTCACATAGAACCTAAACCCTAAACCCCAGACCCTGGGGATATATAGGAATCTTAAGGGAAGGTCGCCATCAGCATTGTACAGGGCTCATCCTGAGAAATTTCATTCTAAACAACAGGGGATATACACTCCTATCATCGAGCATATCGTGATATCTGTGGTCGTCAGGCTTTGTGTCATGTTCCTTCACTATGATTGTAGGCTACAAAGCATCTTTAAACAGATGTGCCGCCCTTGCGCACTTCCCCAAAACATGCCCATGTCTGTGACTGTTGTAAGATTATTGGCCAGAACTCGCATGCGCACAAGCCCGTTGTGCACCTGGAGCCAAGTTTGTAGAAACGAGCAGATGCAACCAGAGCCCAAAAGTCACCATGCAGGGTTTTCTGGGGCACGGTGGGTTGCTTTTCTGGCCATCCCTGAAGAAACACTTCAAGCACTAAAGCCTTACATGCTGTTGAGGGATCGCTGCGAAGAGGGGAAGTTTTTTTGATGGAGGAAATCTGACCTAAACCATCATGATTCCTATGAACCAGGGGATGAAGGTTGTGCAACATTCCCTCCATCCCCACAATGTTACATTTTGCCCCGGTATTATATTACATTTTATACTATATAAAGAATACAATATATGTGTCTAGGGAATACTTAATATCGGCAGTTTGTTTTGGGGGTGTTTTTGTTTATTGGGCAGGGGTGATTAATCTGGGGAAGCGTTTTATGGAGTCCCCTTGGGTGTCTTAGTAACATTAAACCTTAAGCGCTAAGCCCTAAACCCTAAACCTACAGTCTGGAACTCATGACCCCATAGAGCTACCCGTAATTGAAAGAAGCCGAACTCCGTGTATCCATATGTACTATAATCTGAATTACTTAAAGGGGGTTATGTAGGGCATCATATAGGGTAGTATTCTAGGGGTTATTAAGGGGGATATTAGGAGCTCAGACTCTAGCTCATATACAACTGCCTTCACAGTCCTTGAGAAAACGCGCTGAAATCCAAGCGGGGCTTTCCAAAAGCTCTGTGTCCTTTTTTTGCTGGGGAAACACGCAAACCCTAAACCCTAGACTACAGCGCCTTTCGGTGCACAACTATCTAGCCTGTAGCAGTTCTACGCACGACAGGCCCACGAAAGGGCGGTACGTGCAAGACCGGACTGCTTCATTATGGGTCCTTTTCGGGGTTGAGGGTTTAGGTTTAGGGGTTGCTTAAGATGAAGGAACCCTAAGCCCTAAGCTCAGAGGCTTGCAGCCCCAAACCCTACCGTACACAAACCAGTAACCTCATATAGGCCTTTCCATTCCAGGGAGGTATAGGGGACCATAGCTCATGTAGGAGCTCGACAAGGAACCTCACTCTGTTGGGGAGTTTAGGTTTGAGGTGAGGCGCGGTGGTCCTGGACGGGGGCCGTTCAGGGTTTAGCGGGCTGATGCAGGGCTTGGGTTAGATTGTTAGATTTGTTCTTCCTTACAATGACTTTCGCCACAATTGGTAGGAGCTGTACCGGCCCTTTTCCCAGGGGTAATGACCCAAGATTCGGGGTTTCGGCTTTAGGAATTCCGAGTTTTAGGGTTTAAGTTTGCTGTGATATGATGCTAAAGCAGAGATGGTCATGCCCCAGAGTCGCTGCGAGTGCGTCGTGCGACATGCTGCCTGGCTGGCCCTCTGTTCGCATTCACCCTCCCCACCTCCGAAAATTCCGGAAGCTTTTGGCAGGCA